CACTATGTCTTGTATGTACACATGATAGGTATGGTAGTATAGCTTAGTTGTACTAGTAGTAGATGTAGAGCAATAGCATTGGGCATTACAATAAATATTTATTGTTATTAATATTATTATTATGGTGGGTTGGCTTCTTCATTTTCTCCCATCTCTTTTTGCTATCTCTCTCTTCTTTTAACCAATCCCATCTTAATTACTCCACACCTTCCTCTACCCACCATCCCCAACATTTCTCTTCATTTCCACTTTAAAAAAAAAAANNNNAAAAAAAAAAATCCTAAAAAGCACACACACATGTATAAAAATAAAATATGTGTATAAAAATATTGGGGACTTTTAGATCAATTAGATCAACTATCCCTGACGGTTACATAATGATCTAACAATTACAAATAATGTCGGAATAGTTTCGTAACGGGACCGTAGTATTTCCCAAAATAGTGTAAGACCGTTACAAATATTTAGCCACACTGCCAAAAATGAAAACTTGGCTAGTGCCTTAACATATGCTTACCAGCACATGAAAAAAAGAAAAAAAATAAAATAAAATAAAAAAATCATCTCCCTAAATTCCATATCATTTCCCATATCCAAATCCCATATATTTTTCTTCTCCCAATCACTTGTTTGGTTGATTGTTTATGGTATTTTGCAAGCTTTTAGTGGTTGTGAGCTTTTCTTGTCATGGGATTAGCTCCAAATCCGCTGGAGCTTCTTGATTACAGTATTAACTAATTAATTAATTATCATATTTTTTTTTTATTTATTTATTTAAATACACACACATAAGTGTGTTCTTTTGTTTTTGTCAACTTCTTGTGGGAACAGAGAGAAAAAAACAGAGGATAAAAACAAGAAACAGAACTTGTCAAGAATTTTACTGATGGAGTTTGGCGGTGGTGGTCGCGGCGGCGGCGGCGGCGGCCACGACACGTCCGATCCTCACCGGAGCAAAAAGCGGTACCACCGCCACACGGCCCATCAAATCCAGAGGCTTGAAGGGTATGTGTATACAATTATATACGCTCATTTTTTGTTCATATTGTTTTTATTTTCATTTTTATTAAGCTCTATTTATATATACACACACCCCAACTAGCTCAAAGCTCCATGCACATATGACAAATGATGAGCATTTTAGGGAACCCTTTTATGCATTTTATGTTTTTGTTTTTATACAATGTCAAGATTCCACTTTTTTTTAATAAAAAAAATTGAATCTTTGGACAAGAAATGGAATCTTCAGCCAAAAAATGGAATCTTTACACAAATTGATATTTTTTTTTTGTCATCTCAGGTTGTTCAGAGAATGTCCACACCCAGATGAGAAGACAAGGAATCTTTTGAGCAGGGAGTTGGGTTTGCATCCTCGTCAGATCAAATTTTGGTTCCAAAATCGAAGGACTCAGATGAAGGTTTTTATTTTTATTTTTTATTTTTTTTTTAAATATATAATTTGGATTTTAAAAAATAATAAATAATGACAGTAATTCTTGAATTTGTTAAAATAAATTGAACTTTATGTGTTTTCAGGCACAGCATGAGAGAGCAGACAACTGTGCACTGAGGGCAGAGAATGACAAAATCAGATGTGAAAACATAGCTATTAGAGAAGCTCTCAAGAATGTGATTTGCCCTTCTTGTGGTGGGCCCCCACTTTCTGAAGATCCTTACTTTGATGAGCAAAAATTGCGCATGGAAAATGCCCACTTGAAAGATGAGGTCCTTAAATTCAATCCATTTCCAGTTTGACTCTTTTTTTTTCCGATACTAGTCCGCCTAACGGTTAGGCGGGTCTACCCGTCATACTTTTTTTTTGTTTATGTTGTGTTTAAGCAAAAAAGATCCAATCTTTCATTTGATGCATTTTGATGTGTTTTCAATTGTGTTCTTTCAGTTGGATAGAGTTTCTAGTGTTGCTGCAAAATACATAGGCAGGCCAATCTCCCAGCTGCCACCTGTCCAACCCATCCACGTGTCGTCCTTGGATTTGTCCATGGCTGGCTACACCTATGGACACGGCCTCGACCTCTTTCCCGGTAACTCGATGAGCGTAGTACCGAATTTGCCCTTCCCACCGACGACTATTTCCGAAGTCGACAAATCCCTCATGGCTGACATGGCCTCCGGTGCCATGGATGAGCTCGTTCGGCTCGTGCAAGAAAACGAGTCGTTTTGGATGAACTCGAGCTTCGATGGAAGGGAGATTCTTGATTGCGAGAACTACGAAAGGGCTTTCCCGAGGCCTAATGGCCACTTGAAGAGCCCTAATGTGAGAAGTGAGGCCTCGAGGGACTCGGGAGTTGTGATCATGAACGGTTTAGCGTTGGTCGATATTTTTATGGATGCGGTTAGTAATTTTTTTTTTTTTTCTAAGTTTTAATTCATATATAGTTAACATGTTCAATTAGAAATGATTAAGTTTTTTTATTTTTTTGCTATATTGACAGAATAAATGGGTGGAATTTTTTCCTACAATTGTGTCAAGAGCAAGGACTGTGGAAGTAATATCAAATGGCACATTGCAATTGGTAAAATTTTCTTCTTTCAGAAAAAGTTATATCTATTTTGATTTGTTTATTTGTTTTGCTTTGTAATTTGGCTCTTTTTGCAGATGTATGCAGAATTGCAGGTCCTTTCAGCTCTAGTGCCAATTAGGCAGTTTTATTTCCTCAGATTCAGACAGCAAATCGAACAAGGCTCGTGGGCAATAGTCGATGTCTCGTACGAAATTCCTCATCAAGACACCCAATTTTCTTCGCCGTGTAAAGCTCACAGGCTGCCCTCCGGATGTTTCATTCAAGACATGCCTAACGGTTATTCAAAGGTTTGCGAAAAATTTTGAAAATCCTTATAAATGCCTTTGAGTGTAGTTCTAAATTTTGTTTTTTTCAGGTCACGTGGGTCGAACATTGGGAAGTAGAAGATAAAGTGCCGGTCCACCAGCTTTACCGTGAGCTCATCCACACTGGATTAGCCTTCGGAGCCGAAAGGTGGCTCTCGAATCTTCAAAGGATGTGCGAACGAGTCGCGTGCCTCATGGTTGCTGGAAGCTCAACTCATGAACTTGGTGGAGGTAATAATTTTCATAAATTTATTAAATTCCCTCCGAAAAAAAAAGTACTCGAATTTAACATATAAAATAAACGATATTAATGTTTTTTTCGTATTTTTTTAATTATAGTTATTCCATCGCCAGAAGGAAAAAGGAGCATGATGAAGCTCGGGCAGCGAATGGTGAACAACTTCTGCTCGAGTATTAATCCTTCCAACGGTCAACAGTGGACCACATTATCGAGCAATCCGAACGAATTCGAGGTTCGTGTAACTCTTTATAGAAGCATTGACCCTGGTCAACCTAATGGGGTCGTGCTAAGTGCGGCTGCCACTATTTGGCTCCCGATTTCGCACGAAAACGTGTTCAATTTTTTCCGGGACGAGAGGACTCGGCCACAGGTTAAGTAAATTCGCAATCTTTTCTTTATTCTGTTGAAAAATCTTCTTAAACTGTTTTTTTGAATATGTTGTTGTTCATTCATAAACTTCTTGCAGTGGGATGTTCTTTCTAATCAAAACCCTGTTCAAGAAGTTACTCACATTGCCAATGGCTCTCATCCAGGGAATTGCATTTCGGTCCTTCGGGTAAATAATCGATCTTTCTTAGTTTTTTTATTTCTCCTGTTCATAATCCTGTTTCGATTTATTTAACCGAATTTCTGATTCGTTATTATTTTATTTTTCGAAGGCGTTTAACACGAGCCAAAACAACATGCTAATCCTGCAAGAAAGCTGCATAGACTCGTCTGGCTCGATGATCGTCTACTGCCCGGTCGAGCTTCCAGCTGTCAACATGGCGATGAGTGGGGAAGACTCGTCTTACATCCCTTTGCTTCCATCGGGTTTTACTGTCTCGCCAGACGGGCGTGGGGCCAGCCTGGCTGCTGACGTGGCGTCGAGTAGCTCTGACATGGCGCCGGGGTCGTTGGTCACGGTCGTGTTTCAGATCCTCGTCAGCAGCCTGCCGTCAGCACGGATGAGCAACGAGACGGTCAACACGGTCAACAACTTGATCGGGAACACCGTGCACCATATCAAAGCGGCCTTGAACTGCACGTCGTGATTTATTACCTGCATTTTTTTTATTTTTTTATTTTTTTTGAAATTTTAGAAGAAACAGTTTAATTGAATTTGCTTTGAAATAGGGAGTCAAGAACGCACCATTTGGTGTTTTTTTTAGCCAAGAAAATGACTGTATGGTTCGGGCATTGACTTCTTCTTCTTTGATTTGGAGTGAAATGTTAAATTTTTGGTGTGTTTATTTTTTGGAAGTTAATAATTTTATGATGTTTTTTTGCTTGGTTTTGCTTGTGCAACAAATAAATCTTCAATTTGAAATACACAAATTTTTTGGTCGTCAAATGTCGTATTTTTATTTATTTTATTTTTGGAATATAATATTTCAATTTAAATTATACATAATTTTTAATATAATTGTGTATTCCTCCAATAGTTACATAAAATTTATGTAGTTGCGTAACCATTGAACGACTCATTTAAAAAACAAAAAGTAAAAGAAAAATTATGAATTGGATAATTATCAATACGTCGATCCGTCTAATCGTTAAACTCACTAATCACAAATTTGTGATGTTTTTTTTTAGAAAGACATCATACATTAGTGCATGCAATATATAAATAACATGTCTTTATCTAAGTTTGATTTTATCATAAGTGGCCAAAAATAGTTTATTGGGTAGAGGTGTGTAGTGGTCCAATTTATGTGGGAATAAAGAGGCCTTGATTTAGAGTATATAAAAGTCATGGCCAAGTGGGGTTAATAACATTGAAGACTTGATTTCTTCTTTATTTTATTTTATTTTTTTTGGGAAAATTTTATTGTAGGGCTTCATTTTTTATTATTGCGTTGCAATAAGGCCTAAATTTTTAACTTTTTCATTTAAAGATTTCAATTTTAAGTTATTCTCAATTTAAGGTCTACTTTTACATTCTATTTTTCAATTTAAGACTCCAAATCACTTTATATTTTGATATAATTATGTAAACAACAATACTTTATTTAAATTTATTTTTTAAGTTCTTATAATGAAAAAATATTAAATATATTTAGTAAAATTATCTAATAAGATAATTATTACATAATTTACATTTATGCAAAAACTTAATGAAATTTATTTTAAAAGTTAAAAAATAAATTTCTTAATTTTAATCTAAATATATGATAACATTAAAATATAAACTATTTAAGAAAGTAGTTTTTTTATTAAAAATAAACTTATAAAAAAAATATTTGTGAATGAAACTACCTACAATATAATTTCCGAGTATTAATTTCATATATTCTTAACTTTTTCAAAAATATAAATTTTATTCACAAAAAATATTTTCTATAAGTTTATTTAAAACAAATATTTTTTTTTTCTAAATAGTTTATATTTTAATTTTGTCACATATTTTAAAATAAGATTAAGTTAAAATTTATTTTACTTTTAAAATAAATTTCATTAAGCTTTTGCATAAATGTAAATTATGAAATAATTATCTTATTAGATAATTATTAAAGATATTTAATATTTTTTAGTATAATAACTTAAAAAATAAATTAAAAAAAAGTATTGTTGTTTACATAATTATATCAAAATACAAAGTGATTTTGAGTTTTAAATTGAACAGTAGAATATAAAGTAGGTCTTTTATTGACAGTAATGCTCCCTTACCCACTGTGGGCACATGTTGATATGTCCACTGCTCATGTGGCATGCACACAATGGTGCTGTATTTTTTTGAAAATATTAACATCACCAATGTTTGCATGCCACATAAGTGGTGGACATATTAATATGTGTCCACCGTGGGTAAGGGAGCATTACTCCTTATACTGACTAACTAAAAATTGAAACCTTCAAATGAAAAAGTTAAAAATGCGAGCAGACCGTATTGTGTCACAATAACAAAAAAATCAAATCATACAATGAAATTTCCCATTTATTTTTTGCTTGATTGATGCAATCTGTATATAAAACTAATCGTCAAGTTTGAGGTCTCATTTGTTATGTCAACATTTTTTTTTTTTAATTAGAAAAGAAAAGGGGAGGGGGGGAACAAATAGGTATCCCATCATAGGTTTGGTAATTAATAGTACGGTTACTTGCGTATAAATGAATGAAACGTGCTTGGTCAAAGCGTGTGTATTAGGACGTGTACAAGTATTTTCAACTACTTTATAATTGAAAAGGAAAAATAATAATAATAATAATAATCACCTAAGTCTAATAAATAGGTCATGAAATCATATCTAGTTGTTTTCATTGAGATTTTGCTTATAGGTTGGTCTATACTTAAAAGAAATAAATTATAAAGTATGACGAATCGACCTATCTAACGATTAAATTATTTCACACATAATTTTGTAGAATTTCAACCAAAATATAACGTTTCATGACACAATATTATTGATCGTGTATAATAATGTTATTAACTTTGTGTCGTGAATTGATAACCCCACATAATTCTCACGTGGAGCAACTTAAACTTTAATAAGCAAGTGCATTCGTCATATTAAAAAAAAATGCATAGTTATGTCGTTTTGTTAGAGTACGATATTTTACCTAAGAGCGCTTGGATGAGATGATTTGGGTCTTTTCCAGCTTAATCAGTGGTTTCGTGTTCGAGCCCTAAGAATGCAACAGTATTAAAACTCTTGAGGGAGAGCTTTGCCGCCCTTGTGGTCATACCCGGCTCGATTCCGAATTAGTCGGTTCCCCTGTGGATCCGGAAACTGGAAGGTCCATGTACCAAAAAAAAAAAAA